CACTTGGTATTAACTCATTCCAACTTTTCCATGGAAACACAATGTCAATCCTGAAAACATGACTGCCACTCTACAAGTAACACAGCATTAATAAGTTTACAATTTGCTCTTATCTTTAATGAAAAACATGGCATCCCCAAACAAGTAATCCGTAGGGAAGCAGTCTTACTAGGCTGCATTATAGTAACAGGACCTACTGAACCAAACCACTCCAGACTGAAGGGAAATTGTGTCTATGGGCATACCATTACTACACACACATCAGGGGAAGAGACTCAGCTATGCACGCTTCAACTCAATATCTACTAACAATAAAAACAAAAACGGGCTAGAGATGGCTCAGCGGTTAAGAACACTGGCTGTTCTTGCAGAAGACCCGGGTTCGAAGCCCAGCATCCACATGACAGCTAACAACTGTCTGTAACTGCAGTCCCAGGGGATCCAACAGCCTCTTCTGACCTCCGTGGGCATTGCACGACATGGGTGCACTTACCTACATGCAGGCAACACACATAAAATAAAAATAATAAATAATTTTTAAAAAAAATACACATACACACTACCTTGAGCCAAGCGTTTCTACAGACACTCTTAAGTTTTTAAAATTAACAAAATAATACAACTTCTTGGCCCTCAAAGAATAATGGGCATGACAGACAAGAAGACTAAACAGAATGTATTCCAGAAATGTATGAGGAATGCTCAAGATTTTTTTCTACTTCACACTGAAGCTTACAACAAAGCAACAAAGATCAGGAGGCAAAAATGAGGCAATTGCTAAGTACAATGTCAGCAACCCAAACCTAAACGTGCACTCAGACATCTGTCAAAGATACTCCATTAAACATTTCTTGTTAAGTCTATCTTAGAATCCTCAGTGAGGATATTTTTAAATTTTTAAATGCATTCTGTGTGGGGCCTGAGTATATGTATGTAGTGTGTGTACTTGTGAAATGTGGGTGTGGCGTGTCCTACTATGCACGTTGAGGATAGAGGACCAAGTCAGGTGTCTTTCCTCCATCACTCTTCCCGTTTATTTTCTGAGATGGTTTTTCACTGAACTTAAAGTTCCTTGATTTAGCCAAACTGGCTGGCCAATGAGCTTCCAGGGTCTGCCTGTCTCCATCTCCCAGCACTGGGCTACGGACCAGCACCATCACGACTGGATTTATTTACCTGGGTGCTAGAGATCTGAACTCAGGTCCTCATGCTCAAGTGGAAAGCACTCTACCCACTGAGCCATCTTCTCAGCCCACTCAGTAGATTTTAAGAAGATTTAGGGATCTCAATTAGAACTTTGGAAACTGGATCCTGAATAAGACTAACTTTGCAAATAATTTTTCAAAAATCTCCTGCCCTTGTAAACCTCAAATGGAGGTGCAATCGTGCTGGTAGGGGCTTGTGAAAACAGCTAAGACCCAGAGGCCACCCAGAAATACATGATATAGAGAGATCATCAGATAAACAGACTGTCACCCCCACATTCCAGTTATGTTACCTCCCTACAAAGCAATTAGCAAAATATGTATAAAAGCCACAGCTAACAGGACCGTACATTTGGTGACCTATTTTAGGTAGCCCATAGAATTCTTGTTACGACTTCTCTGCAGATGCTTAAAATTTAAGCAGCTAGAGAGAAGAATCTTAAGAAGAACAGGAACTAAATTCAGATTGCTAATGTTCTCTCGTCTGTGAAGGTATACATATTTGACAATGTTGAAATAGTTAAGCCACCATAAAAATTTGGTCCTATTACTCAATCAAAACTGGCAGTTTAAAGTCAAAGACAAGAAGCAGACAGGTGAATGGACAGGTTCCTGTCTCCAGAGCCAAAGCAGTCCAGTGCAGACCCAGATCAATCAGCGTGTTATTAAATGCATCACCTTTAGAGAAAAGCACAGTGGGAATGGGCAATGAGGGGACAGTGACATTCCAGAAAGTGCTAACCTGACTTCACACAGTCCACCCAATTCACTTGCGTTTTAGGGCTGTCTTTTGTGAGGTTCCCACCAATGGTTCCTAAACTGCCCCTACTTTTCTTCATAGGAAAGACACCATTCTTTGCTTCTATACCAACCCCAAAGTTAAGCTCCAAATAATACAAAGATTGGCTTGCTTAATTTTAGCACTGTGTAGCAGTGTGTTGTGTTACATGTGTGTATGTGTACATGATGGTACATGTGCACATGTGTCCATGTGTAGAGACCAGGGGTCTTCCTCAATCATTCTTTATCTCATTTTTAATATTTATTTTTTGAGAGGGGAGGCATGCTATAGCACATACATGGAGGTCAGAGGACAACTTGCAGGAGTCAGTTCTCTCTTGCTACCTTGTGGGTTCTGGGGATCAAATTTAGGCTTGGGGGCAAGAGCCCTTACTGAGCCATCTAGTCGGCCACCCCTTATTTTTGAGACAGAGTCTCTCACTGAACCCGGGGCTCACCTTTGTGACTAGGCTGGCTAGAGATCGAGCTCCACCTGTCTCCACCACCAGAGCACTGGGATTACAGGCACAAACCACCACATCCAGCTTTTTATGTGGGTGCTAGGGATCGGAACTCAGGTCTTCTTGTTTTCCCAGCAAGCATTTTACCAACTAAACTATCTCCCTAGCCCTAATGTTAGCATTTCTATTGCATAAAACATTGATTTTTCCTAAAAGAACTTGACACTATGATACCAACTGTCCTAACCAGTAAGCTATAAAATAACTAAGATAATCTCACTGCGAAATACGCATCTTATAATTATCTCATGGTTCAATGTGTAAAAAGCATATCACTTAAGCAATTTCCAAAAGCACATAAACATAAATGTACCATACACAGAAGATATTCCTCTCGTAAACAAGAACCACAGAATGAATGATCTAGAAATGTCTAGCTTCTCTCCTCTTTCAGTATCATTATACAAATGGGTAAGAGTCACTCAGACCTTTAACAACCTCACTGCCCAGAATCCCAATGCTTCCCCCACCTTCCCACTAAATCACCACTGGAAAAGTCTGGCCCTGCCTTACAGCTCTGAGAGTTGCTATATACCTATTTCAGGATGCTGCCTTCCTTTGCCTGGCCATTTCCTTTCTTCCCACCTGGCATTAAGAATAACCTCATTCCTTACATTTATAGGTGAAAAATACTAGTTTCTAAACAATTCTTTAAAAAAAGCAACAATAAAAATTCTTTTCATTTAAAAAAGAAAAAAAAAAAAAACCCAAAAGGTAGTGCTTATAATTTAAGTCACAAAGAGAATGTAAATTAAGATTCAAGTTGTATTTTCTGACTCAACTTGAACTTCTAACAGGTCCTTCTAGGCTTTGAAATCTACTTTGGGAAAGAAAAAGGGAGACAAGAAAAATTGTTCTTAGAAAATTTAAAAACATTACCATGATTTAAGTCTTAGTTTGGGGACATCGTTCTATATTGATACTTTACTAGAAATTATAATTTATTCTGGACAGTAGGGACCCCTCCCCAGACCTAGCACACACAAAAAAGAGATAGTCTGTTCTTCAGATGACTAATTACCAAACATGATTATGTCATTTTCCTTTATATTAAATTACTTATGAGAATTCTAGATAACCAAAGCCAGTGGAATATAATCAGTTATGAGAAAAAAAAAAAAAAAAAAAAACTTGGGAAAAAAAAGCACAATTAAAAAAACCTGTAGTCTCCAAATGACTTCCTACCACTGTGGTTAGGTGCCAGTACAGGCTGGAGTGAATGACGACAAATCTGTATTCTATTTTGCATGTGTGTGGTACTATCAAACATATCAAGTTTGAATGTAATGGTAAGGTCTTTTTAAATGGACAGGTCTATGAGGGAACATCAATAAAACTCATAAACAAACTGAGACCCACCAAGGTCCTAGAATACTCAGTTTTCTTCTATTTACTATGATCAAAGGACAGGGCAGTCAAAGCTAAAACCTTCATTAACTTATTTTCTTATCATTTTCACACTTATTGAGCAGCTTCTATGCACTAGGCACTTTGGGGTAGATGTTAAAGACAGAAAATGCTGCCCTCTGAAGTCCAACCACCCTGAGGGAAAAGTCAGTCCCCCAGTATGTGTGTGCCCAGAGCAAAGCAAGATAGAAAACAGAGCTGACTAGCTGGGAGATTCCAGTTTAGAACCGTAGTCCAGAAGGGAGTGTACCACAGCACAGCATTGCTACCATTCCAAAACACATTAAAAAACCCAACACATGCTAGGCGCTTTTGCACTTTATTTTACTCCATCCACACAGAGCTCTTGCTGTAACTGTGCCTGCTGTTGAAGATGTAGCTTATATTGAAGAGGGCCTGCCTAGCTATAAGGTCCTAGGTTCAATCCCCAATATTGTAAAATGAAACAAAATAAAAAACTGAACATCTTCATCTTACAGATGAAAAAAGTTAATTTTAACAAGTACTTCACTTGTCCAAGGTCACGACTGACAAGAGCTGCCAAGTCTGTTCAGTTCAACATTCCACTGCCCTACACTGGCCTCTCAAAGCCTCGAAGAGGTAGAGCAGGAGGTAGTATAGAAGTTTTAGCATATAAGAGTCTCTGGGTATATTGCATAATTTTGCAGGTATGCAATAACCCCTACATAGCATGCCAAAAGGTGTTGATGATGTTGTATGAGCATGCAAACCTAAGAGCTTCAAACAGCTCGGCGAAGCCTCTCAAAGTTACAAAACCACAATACTGTTCTTGATAACAGAGTACAAACTTGAGAGACCAGTATCAGTGGTAACAACTGCAATTTTCCTTTCTCCTTTTATGTCTACTTAATCATTTGGGCTCCTTTGGCTCCATCCTTAGGACTTACTGCATGCATCTACATGCAGGTACATATATCTACATAGAACAAGAGGACAAAACCATGGGTGTGTATTTCTATGCTGAATCCTACTAGAAACCAACAGGGACCTAAGAAGCAAGACCAAACACGTGAAAAGGCAGGAGGGATATATATATATAAAACTAGAGCAAAGACACATGTTTTACCTGTTTCCTCATCTATCCTGAAAACACCAACACCAGAACCATCTCTGATGGAGTACCGGATCTCTCCATCTCTGCCAGTGTCCTCATCATGGGCTGACACCGTCATTACTGATGAGCCGATAAGGACATCTTCTTTCACTACACCCTTCTCCACGAAGCTGGAAAACACTGGCGAGTGTAAGTTCTCATTCACATCAATTACCTCGACCTCCACATAGCAAGTGGAGGACAGAGACACGGGCTTCCCTTTGTCTTTGGCCCTGACAGTGAGATTATACACTTGCTTCTTCTCAAAGTCCAGTTGCTGTACAATTCTAACTGCTCCGCTGAGTTTATCCACATCAAAGTGGCCTTCTCCGTGGTCCAGAAGACTGTATCTCACCTGACTAGACTGACCTACATCAGGATCATAAGCTTCTAACCACATGATTATGGTTCCTTCTGGCAGATCTTCTCGAACTTTCACACGGTAATTGGGTGGAATGAACTTGGGTGGATTGTCATTAACATCATCTAGTGATACTTTCAACAGCACAGTGGAGAACAACTGAGGTTCTTCTGTGGCCTGGTCCCTGGCCTCAATCTTTAAGTAATGCACATGCTGTACCTCACGATCCAAAGGTTGTATAATTTTCACCACACCAGTCATGCTGTCAACTGAAAACTTATCTGTGTCTGTGAGAATAGAGTATGTCACTTGTCCACTAGGACCAAGATCTTTATCAGTGGCTTCAACCTGGATGATTTCACTGTTTATCTCCTTGTCTTCACTCACTTCAACAAAATAACTCTCCTGTAAAAACTCAGGTGGGTTATCATTGGCATCCAGCACAGTGACATCTAGAAGATGCCAAGCAGCCCTCTGTGGTATGCCCAAGTCATACACAGTAATATTCAGGGTGTATCTTTCCGTCACTTCACGGTCAAGTGGAGATAAAATTTTTAACACTCCTGTTTCCATGTCAATAATAAAGCAGCTATCATCATTTCCCCCAGAAATAGCATAGACCAGTTTTCCATTGAAACCAGAGTCAAGGTCAGTAGCATTCATGAAAATTATACTGGCACCCACAGGATGGTTCTCCTTTACCTCAATACCAGTGGGAAGAGTACGCCTAAACTGTGGGGCATGGGCATTGACAGAGTGAGAATCAAAGAAGAAATCCTCCACTTCCCCCTGACTGTGTAATTTATTGGCCTGCAGGAGTTTCTCTGCCAGCATTTTGGCCACACCAGTCTCTTCACATTGCAAGTTTACTGACTTGCGACTGGCAGCCACAGTTAGGTTGATATAGAATGGCGTGGCAAAATTTTCTCCATCTGTAGCTGTAATTCTCAGACTAAGAAAAGAGACCTTTGCACCCAAGCCATCCATGAGTGACTGTTTTAATGACAGTACCCCAGAGCTGGGGTTTAAGCTGAACAAATCCAGCTCATTTCCAGCTTCAATCTGGTACCGTACCAACTGCAGCTCGTCGGCATCAATAGCAGAGACGGTCGTTATCTGCTCCCCTACACCGAAGTCTCTGGGAATTGTTCCTTCACAATTTATTTTCTCAAACAAAGGGGTATTGTCATTCAGGTTATTGAGAGTAATCGTGGCAAGGACTTCAACTTCCCGGCGGTAGGGCAAGCCCCAGTCTGATGCACGAATCCTCAGAGTATAAACCCGAGGCATCAGTTCATAGTCCAAGTTTTCAGCAGTACTCACAGCACCAGTGAAGTGGTCAATAACAAATGGCACGTGATTTAAGTTTGCAATACTGTAAGTCACATAGCCATTTTCACCCTCATCGGGGTCTACTGCGCTCACACTCAGGACGGTAGTACCAATGGGCGCATTCTCATCAAACGATGCTCTGTACGCTGTCTGGGTAAATTCAGGGGGGTTGCTGTTTGCACCTAGGACTTTTACCACGACTTTGGTCGAAGCTTTCCTGTCACTCGTTGTCACTTCAAGTTCAAAATGGGATGCCTGCTGTCTTTTAATGGGTTCTAAAATGGAAATGAGACCTGTGTTGTGATTTAAACTGAGTTTAGCTTTTCCAGGTGTACTTTTAAAAGCATACCTCAAATGGGAGTAACTAGGAATGGCTTGGACCATGACCACAGGTGTGTGAGGAGGAGCAAATTCGCTTATCTCAGCTCTGTAAACATCCTTTTCAAATCTGACTGGCCCAGCTCTGAACTGTGGAGAAATGACGTGAATAACTTTCACAGAAGAGAACTGGGGAGGAGTTCCTTTATCTTTAGCCTGTAGTGTCAGATTGTAGCCAAAAGGATGGCTATCCCAATCGATGCCCCCTATGGCTTTGACTTTGAACTCTTTACTCCCTGGAAAGGACCTCACGGTTTTAAACTGTTGAAGGAGATCACCTGCCACAATGCTCAAAGAAGCTATCTCTCCATTGGCACCCTGGTCACAGTCGTCCACAGTGACAATTGCGTACGTTGGGTCCTGGTCCAGCTCAGAGGGTGATAATGTCACTGCGGTTATCGCAGGAGCGCACTCATTGGCCTGTTCCACATGAACGGTGAGCTTGGCCATGCTGCTAATCCCACTGCTGCCATACAATTTCATTCCCCGGTCCACAGCAAGGATCTCCAGCTCATAGAGCCGGGTCTCTAGGAAATCAAGCCTGCCAGTTAGAACCACCACGCCACTAGTTGGATGAATAGCAAACATGTCAGTTCGGTCTTTAAAACTGTAGTAGAATTCTCCATTGGTTCCTATGTCTGCATCTGTAGCACTGACTCTTGCAATACTGGTCCTTATGGCTGTGTTCTCGGGTAAGGAAACACTGTAAGACGTTGGGGAGAACAATGGCCTTAAGTCATTTGTATCCAGCACTTGTACCCTGACCTTTGTTCGTGCCTCAGCATTAGTGTTTTTCTCAACTGCTTTGATTTGCAATATGTAGTGGTCTCTCACTTCTCTATTAAGAATAGCTGTATTTCCTCCTTTGGTCCTTATTCTTAGAAAGCAAAAGTCTCCAAGGATGTACTCTTCAGCTTTAAACAGGTTTTCGTTGTCTCCTGAGACAATTTTGTACCTTAATTCCCATGAAGGGTTTGTGATATAAATGCCCATTTTCCTAGGATGGCCAACATAGGTTTTGGCTGCAGAGTTCTCGTGCACAGTGACATTGTACTGGAAATGTGTAAACTGTATAGAAGGAGTTGGTTCAAGTCTCTGGCTTCCATCACTATCTCCAAAATGCTGGAGCAGGAGGAGCAGAAGCAGAAGCAAGGCCAAGTGTCTCCCCATTGTCAACTCCCAGCCACCTGCAACAGAAGAAGAAAGACCCATTACTTGGGGAAATAAAAACCAAAACAAGTGTAAGTTGTAAATTTAAACCTCTTAACAAGGTATTTCCCATCTATATGGAATATGAAACAAGTCTAGAATTGTTTGACAAACATCTTTTTAATGACTCAAGTCATATGATGGCTCAAGAATCATAATGGATTGCCAGCATAGTCTGGCTATGTATCCCAGGCTGGCCTCAAACTCATGATCCTCCTGCCTCAGCCCCAAGGTGTGGGGATTATAGGCAGGCCTCACCATAACTAGCTATGGATCTTATTCTTATGCTTCAAGGCACACATACACAGCAGTTCCTGAAAAGGGAGGTAGAGTGAATGCTGCTCATTTTTTCTTACATACCACGAATTACAAGCTCAAAATATATAAACCTATTTTGGGGGAGGTGGGAAGGAGTGGTTTTTCTTTGAGTTTCATGAAACCCAGGTTGGCCTCAAACTCACTATGTAGTTCGAGATGGCCTTGAGCCCTCAAATCCTCTTACCTGGACCTAGCAAGTGCTAAGATGACAGGCATGTGTCACCAAGCCTGGCAAGCTTGTAAACTTGTATTAATACAGTATTGTGAACCTGCAAAGCTTCAAAGAAAAAGTCTACAGCAGTGGTTTTACAGGACCCTGTACAATGATAGCTTGTAATTTCATTTCAAAATTTATCCTGAAACTATTTCTTCATAAAAGTAAGTGCACTCCCTAAAGCATGTCTTTACTGTCTTGTTTAGTACTGTAAAACTATTTAAAGGAATTATGATAATTTTTGTCATCAAATTTGCTACTCGAGTAGTTTCTAAACATCAATGTGAGCGCACAGCAAAAGACAGGTCAGTTGACAGTGAAGTTTCTCCTGCCTAAGACAGAGAAGCTAATGTTACCAAGGGCATCAATACTTTATCATCACTGCTGTCAATAACCCATCATACACCGACTGTCTAGTATCTTCAAGGCACTGAACAATCCATCACCCAGGGGTCCCCAGTAGAAGACAAGATACAAATGCATAAAAGCTAACCCATCAAAGCTAATGCTGCCAAGCATCTAATCAAGGAGCAAGGATGCAAAAACAAAGGAGGGGCAGAGGGTGACTAAGGAGGGCAAGAGGGAACCTGAACAAAGGATGGCCTTCAACAAGTGGGAAGGTAGGCCGAGTCCACTGGGCTGAGATCTAGCCAGAGAACAAGGCAATGTTTTTCAGACCAGCTGTTCTTTATCATGACAACAAATTCATCCTGAAAAGTTGACGCACTTTCACAAACCCCTAGCGCTGTCAGCACAGCACAGACGTGTACCCTTGCAAAGTAACCCTCAGATTAATATGCACAAATTGTGAATGTTAGCAAAGGTGAAAGAAACAGCACACTGGGGGCTGGCTTATCAGTCCAGTGAAATTACTATGGCAACATTAATTTACAGTACCTTAGCTCAGCTACTGCCAACTTATCCCATTACTCATTTCATTAGAAGTAGAAAAAAGAAGAGAACTGATATGCTTAAAGCATTTAGAAGCTTAATTGATACTGAATCGAGTTCAAGTTGGGTACCCTAACTCCCTCTGCAGCTATCACATCTTGTCTTTAGTAAAGTCAGGAAATCTCAGAGATCTTTAACCTCCAAGAGAATAAAAATTATTTAAACAACATAAAAGTTTCTGCCCAAACTACCTCTGTATCTCAATTCATCCACTGATTCTAATACTTGAGGAAATCTGTATTATATAGAAAGACCCTGTAATTTTAACAAAACAAAAAGAAAGTTCAAGTCAGTTCAACTTTCAAACACCACCATGTAGAGGTGATGGTAGACTGGTGAGAAGAGCTGCTTTCCAAACACCACCATGCTCACTATATAAAGATTAAGATAGGTAAGGATCACAATCCAGAGAGAGTTGAACAAAAAATAAAACTAAAATAAAAATGTGGTTAAGGAAATGCTTTTAAGAGCATCTACAAAGGTTATGTTGAACATTGCCCTCTGAAGAAACACATTATGTTTCAGGAGACATTATTACAATGACCCACTTTATAATGAACTACTACAGCAAGATTCTATTGTAAGCGCTTCAAATATTATTGCTTAGTTTGACATAAAAATGTTATGCAGCCATCAAAAGTATGGCAGCATTCAACGTGTTGAGATATAAAGATGTCTAGATAAATTAACTGAAAAAACTAAACGGATCTCATTTATGTTCGTTTGGGGGATGGTGCAGAAAACCCCTGTGCATAGGTACACGAATGTGCTTTAAATGGAGAAAAGTTCTGGAGACGTGACAAAACTTAACCATGGTAACATTTGGAGGGAGAAGAAGAGGCAGTCAGGGAAATATATTCATCTGCCCTCTATGACCTTAAGTTTTAGCACAGCTATAATGTTTATCATCTGCTTGCTCCTTTATTTAAGTCCTTCAACAGACGCTTAATGAACACCGACTGTGAGTCAGGGACAGCTCTAGATGTTGGAGAATAAAAAGTGAACAATCTTCAAGGCCTGATGCATGAACATTTGCAGGTGAGGCACAGAGACAAGCACAAACCAAGAGTACACTGGATGATGGCTGAAGGAGAGGGAGGGGTAACAGAAACTGCAGGGACCCTGTGGAGAGGGCCTTGGGCGCAAAGGGATTTCTCAAGCTTAGCACTGGTGCTGTTTCTGGCAGGCAATGCTTGGGTTCCCTGGGCCACTGTGACGAGGTTCCCATTATTCAAATCTACACCTACCAAAAGCCCAGAGCATCTGTGCCCAGTTGGGAGAGCTCAAACTGTCACGGCACTCTGCCAGATGTCCTCTAGGACTCAAAATCGTCCCCAGTAGAGATACACTCATCTAGAAAAACAACCAAGAGAGCATGGGAGATGGAACACTGTGGGGCAGGGGAGAAAAGTTGGGGCCAGGGAGAGAAAGGATCAGGAGAAGAGGCTGTGCTTTTGGTTTTTTTTTTCAAGAAACTTCTAGAAGGTTTCTCTAAACCTACGTGCATTACCATCTCACATTATTACATGACAACTAATGAGCCATGTTGCTATGCACTGCTACAGTACTATTAGAATCCATTCTTATTAGAATGTATTCTTTATTGTTTTCCTTACATTTTATTACTATCCTTTGGCATTCAGTCACCCGGTGCCCTTAGACCCCTGAGCTGTATAGTTTTTTCGGACTTTCTCCTACTTTTAATAACCTTCGTGGTTTGAGAAATACTACTCATACACTCTAGAATATTCCTTAGGCAAAATGACTCTCAACTGGAATTTGTCTGATGTTTTGCTTATGATTAGAATGGGGCTGTGTTTTGAAAGAGGACCACATGGGTCCAAGTACCATCTTCTTCATGGCATATAAGTGACATAATGAACATAACTTAGTAGTATTGACACTGACCTTGACACACCCTCATCTAAGATCCTGTCAGATTTCTCCACAGTCAGGTTATACCTTTCCTGACTTTTCTGTACTGTACTCTGAGTGGCAGTCACATGCCAGGCCACACTTATATACTAACCACAATTTAGAATTCTTCTTTGAGGCTAATTTGCCCATTCTTGCTTATCTATATATTTACTTAATCATATTTTATGACTTTGGATTTTACTACTGATAAAATGGGAAACCACTAGAGAATTCTGAACAGGGGACGTGGTCTGACTATGAAAAGTTACCTCTGAGAACTGTGAGGAGGAAGGATAGAAGACAGGCGGTGGGGTCTGGTGAGAGGCTGACATAATAAGACAGGTAAGGGGCCAGGGGTTTGGCTAAGCATGGTAATGTTGGAGGTGGGGAGAAGTGGTCAAACGCTAGACTCTATTTCAGGATCTGTTGATGAACTGAAGGAGAGAGAGAAGAAAAAGTAAGAATTATCAAAGATTTCAAGGATTTTGTGCTGAGCAAAGAGGAAAGAACTATCATACTACCAGAGGAACAGAAGAACAAAAGAGTAAACGGGGTTTGAGAATAAGGTCAGACTGGCACATAGAAGAGATCCTCCTAAGGCTCAGGTGCTAAGGGCCTGGTCCCCAGCCTGAGGTGCTTTTAGGAGACAGTGGAACCATTAAGAGGTCTAAAGGAAGTGAGGGCCTGCTTCAGGAGGCATGCCTTTGAAGAGGCTACTGGGACTGCACCCCGCCCCCTTTTTGCTTCCCACTCACCATGAGGTAAACAGAACTCCTCTACAAGTTCCCCCCATGATGTCTATGTAATAACAGGCCCAAAGAACAGGGCCACATGGCCATGGACAGAAACCTCTGAAACCATGAACCAAATAAAACTATTCCTCTATCTAAGTGTGTCTATCACCATCAGGTATCTACCACAGCAACAGAAAACTGACTAACACAAAAAGACCATGGTGGTGCAACTGAAGATTCCAAGTGGGCAGATAGCGCCTGTGGGAGAGATCCAGCGTAGAGGTACTGATCTGAGAGAGTCGGAACATGGAAGACGGCATTTAGAATCATGAAGAGGAGGAAAGCCAGTCAAGGACAGAGCCTTGTTGCTCCTCAAGATTTAAGCAACAGTGGAAGAGTAGTAGAAACAGGCAAAGGAGATGGAGCAGCCATTGAGGCAGAACAGGAAAGAAGAATCAGAAGCAGTGTGACAAGGAAAAACAGCTTAGGAATCTTTTTGAGTCTTTAAAGCCCAATACCCAAACTTGGACGTGTCCCATATGCACCAGCTGTGCCATGATACCCTTACCACAACTGTGGAGAGGCCCTGGATCCCCTTCCCAAGTCCTCAGTCATAAAGAAATGCCCCACAGATAAACTTGCTATAGTTGTCCTCTCCCCACAGTGAGGTCCAATCATACTGCCTATGCCACACACCCACAGGCTCCCCAAACACCCTACTCCCCTTCCACTGCCACCCCCAGGCTCCACGGGACACATCACGGCCACTGCCACCCCCCGGGCTCCACGGGGCACATCACGGCCACAATAACTTTCTGGACCACATTTACATTTACAACTGAAA